TGACACTTTGCACTCTTGTAGGTGTTATCGGGAGCTTAACACATTACCTCATGTTTACCTTCAGTTATATCCAAATTTTAAATTTCGAGCTTGAATGAGTTGTAAAACTATAATGTATGTTTCATACATCATGCCCAAAATCTACAATTAAATTCAATATGGCGGCACTCCTAGAGGACACTTTCAAGTTATTAGTTCAATAAAATGTATAGGTTTCATAGGCCGTGCACCATTGCATAATGCAAATTTATGGAATCTATAACTATAGATTCCATAAGAACTTCGAGATGCAACCAATTGATACCGACACAGTCGATATATGAACACTACTTATTCCTTAAAACGGTTTGCACGTACTTAGCATGTGTTGCCTTCTATTGAGGTGTTTTTGGTTGTCTCAATGCATTCTCAATGGCAATTTCGTTTTGTTTCAGTATTTTCAATTTAGATTTTTTAAAATTCTTATAGTATTTTAAATCCAATTAATTCTTCATATTAGCCATTACCTATTTGTATTTAAATAATAAATTTACCTTCCATTCTTAAATTTAAATATTAATTTTTAATTTTTGCTGATACAATTAATAATAAATTAAAATTAATAATGATTACTTTCAAATCTCTTTGAAATACAAAGTAATAATTAATTTGCGATCTGAACAATTAAGTAGTACATATTAATACAAGTATAGTCCAGAAGTTGCGGCATTTAATTTCCCAAATATAGGCAGGCAATAATGCACTAAAATATGTCATGACTTTTAAAAAAATAAATCAGAGGGTAATCATTTAAATTATTCAAATTTTATTTGTAATATTAGTACTAGCACTTGCAAGGAAGAATTCTCATCTTTTGTTCATCAATAAATTTTGTAATCTTCATTGGTTATCTATTTATTGGAAACAAATCGTTTCACATCTGAAAATAATTATTCTTTATGACAAACCAAATTTCAGCATGATGACTGCAAATTAAATTCGCTTATGATTCTATGAAGAGTTAACCGTGGGCTGAACAATTTTTTTACGAATCTTTGAATTTTAACATAATTGAAAAACTATTGTTTTTACTCGTTGCACTCATTTATTTACCAGTACATGATACAATTATTTGTACTTTATTGTACAAATTTGTCTGTCCTCAAAAGGAGTCGGATGCCACACGTAAGCATTGCATAGAAGGTGATTGATATTTGTGCTTGATGAAAGAGAATTCGAAAGAGAAGACAAAATATTATAGCAAAAATTAATGCTTATAACCAAATTTAATGCTTATCTATCGTCACAATACATGCGAAAATAATGTACGAATTAAATGATATTCAACACACAAATACACCTAAAACGCGCCCAACACACCAAATAAAATTCATAAAGGCCACCAAAACACAACGCAACACACACGGGCGCCAAGTACCGCCAATAACCTCAAACAACTGCTGTAGCAGTACGCCAAGCCACTATGTTGCTTATTTGTTAAATCCGTAAGCATTTGTAGACCCGTTTCAGGACCTAAAAGTTATAGAAAGCCTTATAGATACCATAAGTCTTATTGGTTGTTCTAGAAACACGTTTTGCCACTGTAGACTTATTTTATAGAATCAATAAGCATATCGTTTATGCAACCGACCCAAAGAGTGAAGGAGTAGTATGCCATAGTGATTTGGCGTCTCAAGCTGTACGCCATATTGAATTCAAAGTTTCGTTTTTTTAATACTCTTTTGTATTACGAGCTCAAAGACATTTTTGGTCTAATGGTAAAAATTATTTTTCACTGCTGATTATGACCACGCCATACCGTTGCGGCGTCTCTAAGTAGCCACCATACTGGTTCAAAATGTCCAATTTCTCATTAATCCATGTACGTATGCATTATAGATACAAGTACGGCGGTAAATTTTTAGCCCACTCGTGATTCCCTAAAAACCGTATGTTTTTTAAAAAAATAGTCGTAATATCATTGGTAAGTGATGGGAAATATGATCTTAAAATAAAGAGAAAATTGAAGTGAATTGTTGATTTGAAACGTTTTATGACAAATTAGGTTCAATATAATTTGTTGAAAGAAATAAAATACAGTAGTTTTAGATAGTTACAGAGGCGAGATAAAAAAGGTACACATTCCATAAAAATGGTAAACTGAACCGAGTGAACCATATTGTTTTTTTGTGTCTATATCACTGAGCTGAAGAAGGATCACATTCCTTAAGAAAGAGTCTACCTTCTAGAGCTAGAAAGAAACAAATGAGTTGAAGGAACATATTCCAGGAATCTGTTCCCCGTTCAACTCAAATTCTCAATAGTTGCCGCGCTAGAGAGCACATTTGTAGTATAACCAAATACTATGTAGACAATGCGGGACACTTTGAACCTTCCTCATATTTTTGATGGAAGACAACTTCTCGCTAGCGAACCTAGTGACGTGACCTGGAAAATCAGCGACTAATATAGATGACGTCAGAGAATGACGTCACAACTGTTGGCGGGAAAGTGTTGGGTAGCAACCTCTTCTGTGCACGAAAGCGATTTCTAGAGAATTAGGAAGTTTTTGGCTGTATTATGCTGTTTCCAAAGTGCATAGGTCTTTTGTTACTTACAATGATATTCGCTTTCTTTGGGTTTATTTAGGTTGTCTGCAAATTTCGTCGACAAATTGGATTTATAAAAGCACTATTTTATCAACACCCAATGTCCCTACCTTTTCTTTTTGGAAACGGTTCGACGTAAATATTATCATGACCTTAATGATGATGTTAAGGTGCTGCTTTATTATAAAATGAAATTTATGAAACATTTGGTTCCACATGCCTTTTCATCGGTTATGAAAAGTGCCAACGAATTTGGAGCATCTGTGCTATTAGCGTAGAAGTGACTCCTTCCGTATATTTTTATAAAATTTAGGCTTTTTAAAATATTTGTTTTAGAAATGTGTATTAATTATTATCGAGAGAAATATTACCTACATTAAACCTTCATAATCGTTTGGAAAAAATACAGATTGTCCATGAACACAGTCCCAAAAGTGTTCATAATTTTTCACAGAGGGGAGGAACTTTCAACACGTAAGTTAACCAGAATATAATACAATGTAACTATTGATTTTTCAAACCATTAATTGTAATAAATATGTGGTTATTTAAAAATATAAATAAATTTTGCCCTTTATCGTATTTTTGAAAAATGTTTCCTGGTCTAAATTCAAATTTTGATTTTTGAATGCCAATATTCAAGTCATGCGTTTAAAATATTACTTGTTTTCTCCAATGATTTTAATGTTAACTTTTGTAATGAAACGTATTTTCAATACACTTTGCTTGGCAAGTTTTTATGAACATTGATGCCATTTCTTGCAATACAGTTGGGGCACGACTTAATAGCCCTGGTGGCAGAAGAAATCATTCAATTTGGTGACCTACGTAATATTTGAGCTTATCTTTTACACAAATGGCTTTTGGAAATGACAGCTTTTAGCCTAAATAAAGTATTGAAGATCCACAAAATTTTAGTGGCTCATACATATTATGATGCTGTGTTTGTACAACACATTCAGGCAATGCAAGTAAATATCAACTTATGTATTGAGGGCTATGTCCTTTAGTGGATTGTTTATAATATTGCAAAAATATGGAAAATCTACATACGTTTTCACTTAAAACATCTGAGAATGACAGGAAAAATGTTTAGACTCGTGAAATACGAATTACGAAGATGAGCGGAACCTGCAACCTACTATTGACTTGAAATAACCATCTAACTTTTCTTGCTTCAAAGCAGAAATCTAATTTTGTCCTCTCTGTTCCGAGGGTGCTATAATTTTACATTCCTTATTTTTGGGAACAGTAGGACATCTAAAAAAGCTTACTCCTGGCCCCTTTTGCCTTAGTTAACTATCGGACACAACTTGGTTATCGTGAAAATACAACTTTATTTTAGGGAAAAAAGAATATATCACTACGAGAAAGTGTACGTAAACAATACAAAAACGTTTTGAAACCATTATAGAGGAAAACCCCCAACAAAGAATCAACACCACGTTTTAAAAGAAAATCGACCCTTATGTCGTGCTTTATCCATTAGTTCACGACTTGTAGCACCCTGCCGCTTGCCACTCATAGACGACCGTGCTGCCCTTCGAACTACTAAAAGTCACGTGTTCTGGACATCTCTATTCAAATTTCAATACATATACAATAACTTTCGAATCACTCTGCGAAACGTAAGTAAACATAGTCATAAGTAAACTAAAAATGTATCAAACTTATACACTTTTATACTAATACATACTATGATATCACAATGGTTATGCATGTCGAGCCACTAGGATCGCTGACTTCAAGTGTCCCCCGCTATATCGCCAAGTGACATGTAATGTCTCTAATCTTGGGTATAACTGCACAAGAACAGGTTGAGTTTCATTGTCCATAAAAGGCATGCCAAGAAGTTACAGGAGGTTAAGTAACTATTTAAATTCAAGCGTGATGTGGAGAGAATAGTTTTTTACCACATACAAAACTTGCCCTTACCATTTCTCCCTGAACAAGAAATGTTTTACCTAAGACGGCTCTGGTTCTACGTTTTCAATAAATTCATAATTTTAAAAGCAAGGCAATATAGTGACGTCACTATGGTGACGTTCAAGCTCCCAATTGGATGAAAACGTCAACCGCTGATTTCTGCCAAGGGCAGAGTTGCATAAATAGCAGAATAGGCCGCTTCCCGCCATGCTTAAGGAATAATAATTTGAAAACGTTCCCTTTGAAATGTATTTTTTTCAATAATAGCGGCTTAGTTCAGTCGTTGGATCAAAAATTTTAGTAGATTCATAAGTAATTGTTTAACTTAATTTGTGAAATATTCCTTTGCGCTTGTAGTTCTACCAAGAATTAGATGTTTCCTAGGTACGTGTATCTTAAAGCTGCGTGCCCTACCAGCCACTTTGTGAAGGGAATGCATGTGAAGTACATTCCTTGCGTTTCCAAGCAAGGTCAAGTGTAGTAAACATGGAAGACACAGGAGGCGAGGGGGGAACAGTCCTCAATTGTGCTGGTACTTTAGAAACTTTAAAGGAACGTTCATTTCGCTCAATGAGTTTTCAAGCCAAAAAGGAAATTATTTCGCAAGTACGGCTTACAATTGATTTCATACATGCGCAGACACAAACGAAAAGCTGTGTACGACATTTTAACACGGAGCAATATAAAAAAGCGGACTGTTTATGTCGTTGTAAAAAGATTTCTAAACTATATTGTTGTATTAGTTTCGAATGAAAAATATTTGGAATAGCTCTGGGCTTTATGATGTAAATAATTTATTGAAAGCCATGCAGCGACATCAACAATCACAAAATCATATTAGATCTGAAATTTGTCTCGCAACATTTGGTTCTGACCAAATAGATTTCCAGTTATATCAACAACTTAAGCAAGAAATTGTTAAATACAATGATTAAGTCAAGGGGGAAAAAAGGAAAGTTGTGCGGAGCCAAATCGATGTGGTAATTTTCTTCGCTTGTCAAGAACATTCTCTCAGAGAACACTCAGAAGATGAAGAGTCTTTCACAGAGAGTATTACATAGAAATTCTATCTGATTTGATAGAGTTCCTTTTTTTCCTTTTCTTTTTATCGTGGCGAATCCGCCATCTCGGGACCACGCGAACGTGCAACCCACAGGGGCCTCAGGGTTATATTCATCGAGGGTAAGTGCATGTGACTTTTATGGGGGGATCAGTATTTTTTTGCACCCAGGGCCTTTTACCATTAATAGTATTATTAGCAAAATTGTCCAATTAAAGAATGACTGAAAATCAACTAATACTATTAGCATAGTTGCGGTCGGTACTACCACTACAGTGCTTCCCCCGTCCTCGAAGTTACCGACCGTCATTGCATACAACTCTTTCACACTTTGGCTATCTAACGAACAATTCACTACAAGAAGATACACTAGCTGAGTATTCATTCCCCAATGGCATAGTTTTTTTCGACACATTCAAAAAATTGTGCAGTGCAACACCGTCACCTACAGGCCACCTCTCCCCCATAAAAGTCCTTGACACCGAAAAATCCAGTGAAGGCAAAACGTTTGTCAGTAAGCCCGTCTGTGTGTGGTCAATGTTAATTTTCGGGGTACTACGCGTAATTGTGAATATTTTGAAGTGGTCTATATTGACAAGGTGAAAGCGGAGCACAACAGTCCCGAAACCCTTTGATAGCTCAGGGAGGAGTTCTGGATTGACAGAAAAGAAGTTATTGCACAACTACATTTAATAATTACTACACTTATGCACTTGATTACATGGCACAGTTACATCACAGCTGGAGCACAGTGCTACCAAATTTCCTCGTGCGAGTGGTCTAGGGCAAATAACTTTCATTACACAGACAGCACATGTGGAATTCGTTGTAGCGCACGAATTGGGTGGAGCCCTACTTGTCACAAATAGAAGTAAACTTTTCGCGTGCTAACCGGGAACAGCCTGAGATTACACAATAAACTGAATGTCCAAGTGGTCTGATGCAGATAACATACACCACACAGACAGTACACTTGAAAGTTGCACTACCAACTGGGAACAGCCAGAGGTTGGACAGTAAGATTTTTACGTATGTTGATTGCACACAGAGCCCGCCAACACGGACCACGCGTGTGGCTTCGCGCGCCGCTTGTGCGGAACTGAAATGGCGGTTTAATGACGGGAGCAGAGAGTATATATGGACGGGAACTTCGTCCGATCGCGAGCGCTCTTGCGTTCAGGAGGAGGGGATGGCAGTGGCCTATCACAATTTGCCATTCGAATTTGGCGATAGAACGTTCTGGAAGGTTCCGTCCGTTGCAAGCTGCAACGGGCAGAGGGGCGCGAGGCTCGCGCGTGTGCTTGTGGGAAAGCCGCGGGCGGCTTCCGGTGGCGTGGTCTCTCGACGCAACGGTCGGCCGCTGTGTCGGTTACAAAACAACTGTTCTGTCTTGCGTAGTAATGTTGAAATGCATAGTTGAAATAATATTATATTTATTCTGCTTTGCTGTGGGCCCGAGCAGTTGTCTAAATCGTTCTGACGATTTTCTCCAAAATTGATATTTCCGGATCGATCTAAATGAACTCGAGGCTCTACGAGTTTTAAACGGATATTTTGATTTTGGGGGGTACATTACATAAAGCCTCAACCTTTTCAAAATTTTCTCAATTTTTTTATTTAACTTTACCCTCTGGTAACATAAAGAACTCTCAAAAATGGCGTGGGTTTCATTTTCGTTGAAATCCTTAATTTTTTCAAAATTGTAAAAGTTCAGTTATTTTGAACAACAAAATATTGAAGATAGAGATATCTTTCTTAAAAAAGTCTGTTGCTTAAAGGCATCTTGAAATAATGTCATGTATAGTTTTTCAAAAATATGGATATTTTTCGGGTAATATTGCGTCAAACATAAGTAGTTTTAAAACAATTTTAAACAATTATTTTCTCAAACACGTCTCCAAGTTGTCTTTATATTTTTCCTCTTATGTTGCAAAGAACGATTAAGAAAGTGGTGCTGGTTCAATTTTTGCGAAATCTCCAAATTTTCGAAAACTGCATACAACAAACAATTAGCATTGCAAATTGATGATAAAGGTTTTTGTTACATGAAATCAGTTTTTAAAATCAGTTCATTGAAAAGGTCATGTACAATTTTGGAAAAACATTAGTACTTTAGCGTAATTTTTATTTTCAAATTTGCAAATTCGAATTTCCCGTGCTCCATTTGTTTTCCCGCACTTCATTTTATGAGGCATCAGATCGGAACACGACAATGAAAATGCCCTGCCGCGACACGGCTGTTCGAAATTCTGAGAATTCCTTCGCACTGTTGGGAGCTGTATGGAACGTAGTTTTAATTATCGAATTTGTGTTCATACATCCACTTTAAAATAATTAGTTTTCGAAACAATCAGTTCGACGATTTGTAATGAGTTTTACTAGAGATAACTGAGATGTGTTCATTTTAACAGAAATTAAGATATTATAATGTTACGTAACCAGTACTAAGTGCGAGAAAGTACGTGCTTATCGCTCTACTAACATGGAGGAATATAGAATTACTTACCATATTCTTCCATGCCACTAGTTTGTGTACGGAATGGCTGAGAGCAACGGCAGATCTGCTCGAAGATCGCGCGGAGCGTTTTCTGACCAGCGCCTCCCAAAGCACACACTTTTGGTACGGTAGGCCAGCGGCTCCGTCATATGGACTCGTCATATGGTTAGCGCAGACAGGCGTTCGTGTGGGGTATATCCATAAACAAAACGGGGGGGGTGCTGTGTGGGTACATCGGATCGTGTGCATCCAACGTTTTGAGGACGAGGTGTTGCTTCGCTGGAAGATGGAACGTTGGATGCACACGATCCGATGTACCCACACAGCACCCCCCGCCCCGTTTTGTACCAATTCGCATCAAACTGTATGGGCATTAATTCGAGCAATTTTTGAGGCCAAAGCTGAACAAAAAAGGCAAAAAAACCAACGCCAAAATTACCAGTTGGCAGGTCGTCTCTTGAGGGTTCGTGATCTTGCCAACACAAATGCAATGAGTTGCCTACCGACCAGGGCTGCTGTCAAGGCGGCTCCAGACATTCGGCATTCGCCGAGCAGCGAGCTACTGCTCGCCCAATCCCGAACAGATGATGTGTACGGCGAATGTCCTCTCACTTTGGTGTGTCCTAAAGATCGACACGCGCTGGGTAGGGCAAATGCCGAATGTTTGGCGCTCGGCGAATCACAAGCAACCCGTCCACACTACTCGGGATTCGGTAAGCGGTTGCTCGGGATTCGCTGAGTGTCGCAGTGTGGAGCCGCCTTCAGAAATGTCACTTGTGTAAATCCTTTAAATGAGTTTACCCACATGTTTGTTGTCGAAAAGTGATTATCTTTCGCCCTTACTTGCCTTAAAGTTTGTAACATTTAATTTGAACCACCTGTATAGAGCTCAGTGGTTTTAACATACAACATACCCACTAAGCGAAGTACTAAGACATCAGACAAGAGGACTAGGAACAGAAATCTTGTCTCCCTAAAAACATCACACAACAAAAGATTCACAGTTGGAAACTATTGTTGTCTTTTTAACGACCGAAGCATACAGCGTGTTAATCATTACAAAACCGAACCCATATTCTTCAGCAGACATGGATTTCCGGCCGGAACCCAAGTGTTTTTCTTCCACCAACACCCAATATTGTTTAATGAAATATTGATCCGAATGCCAACCAGTTGTTTAAATGTGGTACTAATTTTTTTTTAATAAAATGTGCGAGAAATAGTTCCTCCTACCTTTGTTTTCCTTCGAAAGAAATAACTAAGAAGACTAACATTTAGCTTAGACCTTGAAACTTGTTACTTCCACGTTACTGACGGACCTGACGGAATGATGTAGGCCGGATACTTCGAACACTCGCAGTGGTTTGCCGTCTCTTCTTAACAAAAAGAGATAAATTGCGGTGATGATCCTTACTTTTTATTTAATAAAAAGAGAGATGCATAAAATATCGACTTCAAGTCCAGAAGTTTGAAAATGAAGAATTCCAGAATAAGTCTGTAAAATATGATTTATATTAAATCAGATCAAGGTTGTAGCTTCAATTACTGGTAACATTTTTTAAGACATATTGTATCTTTTTCAAATCGATGTCTCCAGTAAATGATACTGTGCAATTATATGTTTCCAAGTGAAATCCATGAACTCAATGTCCTCACTTATGTTAGTCTCTCTGGAACCAGTAATGTCAATAGAATGCGTAATTAAAGTAACAGAAAATGAGTAGTACATAATAATAAGATATTTGCATCTTTGAAAATGCAAGGAGAACTACTGTTCTACCCAGAAGACAATTCATAATTATCCTTTATTGTTTTTAAATGTATGTTAATAGCAAGGACTTTGTTTTGAATTTGAATTCCCCAGGGATACAGTAAACTTATTATTGAACATTTTAAAAATTTATTCAGTGGATTTTTTAATTTTTTTTTTTTTGAAATTCTTTATTGTACTACTGACAGGTAACATATACTTACATTTGTTGAATTTTGTGTTCCATTCAATGGAACAATTCTTTGATGGAATTTTTTTAAGTACCGCCAAAGACTTTGCTAGCCACTGCCTTTATACCAGGGAAACATGAATTTAGACTCTTTCTTTTTTTATTACAAAAATAATTGATTTAATGTTATATTTACTTATTCATTTCTCATTAAACAATTCAAAGATGTGTGATGTTGGTGTCTCAACTACTTGTATTTAGGGCCCAATCAGTAAGATGGAAATGTTAAAGTACACATTGTTCAAATAAAAGGACTGGGGACTTAGGGTGGGGAGAATCAAATTTTGGTCTGTTGTATTTAAGTATGTATACATAAGGACAAATAAAAGCAAAGTTTGTCTTATAATTAATAATCTCTACTTTTCGAAAACTGATGCTGTTAATTACTCTCCAAAAGTGACAGGTTGGTCTACATGCATTGGACTTGTAGAGCTAAGCAATTATTGTAGAATTCTATTTGAGCAAATATAACATGACCAAAAATGACTAAAACTAATGTGAAGGAAGCCATTGAATCATTGAACTTGTTTTGTATTATGTTATCTTCTCCCATATGGAAAACAGAGCTTAATAAAAAAAACTTTCAGTGAAATTTAATTAGATAGTCACACATGAAAAGTTCATGTCCAAGAAAATGACTCAATGTAGAAAATAAAATAACCATAAAAATAGATTAATATTTTCATTTACTTAATGTGCTAATTTGTTAATCCTGTAATAAAAGTAAAACCTATAAATGAATAGGTATAATTTAATGTGCTTGGCTTTATTAACTTATTTATACCTAGCAATTGATTGATAAATAGTATTAGTTCATTGAATTTTTACAAAATTTTTTCAAACATTTAAAAAGATGATAATTTTTACTCTTTTTATTTCACTTTTCAGGAAAAAGTGATCCTTCTTCAGCACGTTATGGGAGTACCACATCCCGAGACAGTGCTTCCAAAGCAGCATCTTTGTATCATACGATAACAGGCAAAGTGTTAGGTTCTCGTGATTCTGATAGACCTGAAATTTCTTCTGGATCAGATATGGCTGCCCAGCCACAACATCTACATCATCATTTACCTCCTCCCCCTCCTCCCACTTCAAGAAGATCACAATCTCATCCGGAAGATGTACCAGGTACTTCTGAATTTGTGGGGACTGTTGGTTGCATGGATGTAAGAGAAAGGTTAGAAAGTCATCTAAAGGAAAAGTTGCATGATATGATGGGTCGATCTGCTCTTGTAGGGCGCATCATACGACCTGGCTCAGTTGGTGAGAAGAGTGATGATAAAGGAATGCTTTCAAATGAGGAAGGTGAATACCAACGCATATCTGAAGCTACTACCACCTCCCCTGTTAGTGATGGTTCTGTAGGAGGAGTAACAAAACAAGCTGTTCGTGCACTTATTCATAGGGAACCTACAACTGCAGCTAGTACTCCTACTTCTCCTCATCGTCATCGTGACCATTTAACAAAAATGGTTCGTTTATATCCTGCATCAGACACAGAGGACAGTGTCTTTTATACTGCTGATGACAGAGACAGTGGAAGTAAGTCCAGAAAGCAAAATTCTTGTGAAAGTCTAACATTGAGTACTGTGTCTGTCAACAGTCAAAGATCATCTATGGACTTAGGGGATAGAAAAACTCTTGTTGTTGTTATTGGTACCAGTAGCAAAGGTGCCCAAACACGCTTGATGCAAAAGCAGAGATCTTGGGAGACATTTCCTCCAAAGAAACGTGGTATCGAAGAAAGAGGAGATGGTTATCGGAAATTTAGGGATCCTGATTCATTTAGAAGTGGTTTTGAATGTCGGCCACAAGATGGAGGAAGTCAAGGGAGTATAGGTGTTAGAGGGGAAACTGGGGGACTGAAGAAAGCAGATAGTTTTGAGGGGCATGAAGAAGCTGTGAGAACATTAGTTGCTGCTGTTCAGGAAACACGAAGTCAGCACTTACAACAACAAAGAAAACAATCACAACCAAAATCCAGCAGCAGTTAAGTTTATTACTTTTATTTCCAACAGAAACTCGCGTAACACCATTATTTAATCAGAGGTCTGATTCACTGGTTATGTATGTATACACACGTTTATGTAAATGGGTATCCGGAGCAATTATGTATAAAATGCTTTTGTAAAGAGATGTTTAGTAGGCTATATTATATTGGAACTAAAGCAAATGAAAGTACAAGGCTGTATGAATTAAGTACTTGCAGATTCGGTCTTTCCTTATACCCTTACCTCATTCTTTTCCAAAGATCTTGTTATTACAGTTCTACATATCTATATTTCTCTGATAGATGAGAAATTGGCTTTAATTATTCCTGTGACAAGGGATTTGAGTGAACAGAAATTCACTTTTCTTTATTGTTATAATTTAATTAATCATCCCAAAGAATAATTATAAAGATAAATTTCCATTATTTTTATGTTCTATTATAATTATTAAAGAAATGCACTATTTCTACACTACAGCCTATTTCTTCAGCTAGAATTGAGATTCAGTATATGTAAGAATTTCAGTATTTTATAAAATTACACTGAAAACAATTACTTTTGTAGGTATCATTCCTTTAAGATGCAAATGGATATTTCTTTTAAAACAAGTGCTTTCATATTATTTGGGGAACAGGCCATGACAATCATTGGGATATCCTGTTAAATCTGAAAACAGGCATGTGTTTCAATATTTTTTAAAGTTTCAAAACAGGATTCACCGTATATGCATAATATTATAGTTTCATGTGTTTAATTTTCTTCTGATTATTTTGTACTAGAGTGTCATTGACATAGAAATACTAAAGGTGTTCAAATTTGACCTGGACTTTTATTTTTATAAATTACTACCAATTTATGATCCTCCCTCTTCAATAGACTTGAGTACATGTTTTGATAATGTGAAGAATTGATAATTAAGACCTGAATAGCCATAGTTGTCCCTAGATCTGAAACTTTAAAAGAGCTACAAACTTCTGAGACTTAGTTAAAGTACTCTACATTATAGTAAGTTTTAAAATTCTTGGGAGATAATATAAGCATTTGAGGTTTACCCTCTGTTTTGGGACGTCTATGTGCACAACTATCTTCATATAATTCCTAGAATATTTCAAAAATGAGATTATCCCTTGTCATATCCTGTTAAAAAGTAATAATTCAAAAAAAATACAGAAGCAGATTTCTGTGTTTGACAGTGAGATAGTTCCTGCCAATCTCAATGCTTGGCATTTCACCTGAATTGAAAAAAACTGCTTGTTCTCTTTCATAACAGCATTTCTGCAATGTAGTGGGATATCAAACATAAGCATGCTTACATAATTTGTATAAAAATACATTGATGAAATTGTATTTCTCTCTGCTGTAGAAATTAGACAAAGAATGTCACCAAGCAGCATGATTATGTACATACATATATCTATATTATTAGATTTGCTCCAAGATGTAAGGTTTCAGAAACAAGTATACAATCTTCCAATAAAATTTTGTTGGGAGCATAGATTATTTACTAATTCATTCTGACAAGAAAAATAAAACCTGGTCAAATGTGAATGACCTGCAAACATCATGCTGTTTAGAAATACATTTACTGTTACATGTGAAACACATCTTGTATAATCTTTTTTCTTTGTAATGTTGAAGTGTGTTTGATATACTAAACACTCATTTGTAGAAAAGTAAAGAACAGATAAAACATAGTTATTTAGGTACTCATGCATTGTATTGTATGTAGTGTATTGCATTTCATTATTCTGCATTATTTTGCATTCAATACTGTGATGTATAACATACTGGTAGTTTAGTAATGCCCAAGATACTATTTTAGGTCATATGCAGTCAAGACTCAAATGATTTCGATGTGTTGGAATTGTGCAAACATTGTTTCCCCAAGTAAGCAAAACAAAACAAAAAACAAACAAAAAAACAACATCAATTGCTTCCTTTTGTTTTTCTTGGGCATAATTTATGAAAGAGCTATGGTAATGAAAGAAAATAATTGGAGGAAATGGTGGAAGGGATGTAAAAATATAATTTCTGTACAGGGAGAGAGTGCTTCTTATTAACAATTTGCTATATTTTGAACATGTGTTCAGAAAGATAATATCCTTTTTATTTCCATTGTAGTCCTTTAAAAGCCATATATTACCTGAAATGTTTTTCTTATTAATGTTATCTCAATCCGTAAGTTTTCTGGTGTTGAGAATGGCAAAAATCCTGAATAAGGAATATTTGTTGGACATAATTTTCAATTTTTTAGAAAATAAAATAGTTGTTTATTTATTGACATTGTGCATGTGCATTTGCATAAATATTAAATAGGAAAAGGAAATTCTGAATTTCACTTTTGAGTTACATTAATTGTTTCTTTAAATCCAGTAAAAGGTCAGAGTTAAAATGGTTCATCATGTTCCTCTGAGAAAATGGATTCTAGGAAGAATGTAGTAATAAAACTTCCAATTACAATTCCTTTTCTTTCTCAGATATAATATCTAAAAATACATTTCAATCAATGATTCATCAACTGTTCTACCAAAAAAAAATTAAGTTATTGAACCTGTGTATCTTTAAAAAGCTTCATTTGTGGGTAGTATTCCAAATTGAACTTTCAAAACAAACTAAGTTAATGAACTATATTAAAAGCTTGAATGCTTTTAATATATTTAATTCTCAGTATTATGAAGTAGGTTTTTAAAAGGATTTTTAACTTGTCGTTTTTTAATCAATTAATTTTGTCAAGAATCTTTATACTCAATCCAAATTTGATACAAATATATGTGGATATCTGTGAAGGAAGTCAAGTATTTATGAAAGAGTTTATTCTCTTAGAAGAGAAACAAATCATAAGAGGAATATGCTATTATTACTGACTTATTCTACCACACATCTAATTAAAAAGTTCATGTGGAACTAAAAAAAAAAAGTTAAATTTTACAGAATCTCTCTTCAATTTATTTCATAAAAATTCTTATTGTGCAGGTTCACTTATATGAAATATGAAAGTTGATAAAAATACCTACACTTTATTTTTAATTATTTTGTACACCTAATGAATTTCTTAGCTTTAGTAATTATGTTGTAACTCTTAAAAACAAATTCTGTGAAGAGAAGCCTTTAAGCATATTGAAGAAACAATTAACAAAATCCAAACCAAATAACCACAATTCATTAAGAATTTACTTAATGTTGCTGTAAGTGTTCTGTTTGTTTGGCCATTATCGAAGAGTAACTCAAATACTTTTAAAGCAAGGGAAATCTATTCTATTTTAGTGCCAAAACCTGCTTAGTTCGTATTAAAAAGTATTACTTTCTCTACTGAATTAAAACCATTTTCACTCTGATCCATTTATTGATTCTCAAAATTCATAAAACATTCAAAAAAGTTGTAAGCTTTTTAAAATCATCTAAATCAGAATAAAAATGACCACATCTATCATTAAGTGTTAAAACCCAAATAAATTAGTTTTTAAAATATGATTCATATGTTTCCAACACTCAAAATTCTCACAGCATCAATTTCAAGTGAGACCCTTCATCACAAAATGTCATTCACAAAACTCTCTACTCAAATTTACATAATGAAAGTGATTGTTCTTCTTTTATATTTGAAAATAGCCAACCAAACAGGACAGTCACTGTCTCAACCCATACAAGGCAATGTTGTTTTTTTGAACATTTAAAGATGCACCATGCATTTTGATTTCAAACTAGGAATAGAAAACTTAAGGTTTAACTAGCAAAATAACTTAATCTTATTTTCTTTTAATATTTTTTTACTTCAGATGTTAAGTTTTATCCAGTTACCTGTAGGATCAAACGTCGCCTTCATTCAAGTAAATTAACATTACTTAGCTGTATTTGTTTTGTTATCAATTTCTTTACATTGCAGTTCTTATTTTTCTACATTAATCAGACATACAATTAGTAATACCATACTTTCCCCAACCTATCATTATTATCATTAATTTTAAAGCATTCTACTTAATTAAAACTTTCCTGTGTGAATGCCTTATAATTATATATTTAATGAGCAGAATCCAATTATGGTTGCATCGTTGTCACAAAAATACTGTTAACATTGTGGAAAAGAAATCAAAACCACTGATTAGTCAAATCCTGTACCCTTAATCTACAAGTAGAAAGAAATTGATTTCATATGTAATAGCATATATTATATTTTAGAAATAACTTGTGCACTTTATTTCAGTGACGAGGTATAACTACAAAAGACGTGATGTGCAAAGCTTCTTCACTACTACTGGAAGTTAATCCATTAATGTTAACGCTTCATTCCAAATTCTTAGCTTATGGGGACAATTAGATCTCCTAAATGAGAAAATTAATATTACTACCATTTGATTCTTGTGACATATGTAATGCTGTAAGAAAAAAGGCCTTTATTTTTATATATATCCAAAATATTGTATTTTGTATACCCATGATGTTTGAAAAATATTCAAAACTCTTTCTCTGAATAAGAAATTGATTGTCACTACTTTCCACCGACTTTCTCATTTTCATGAATAATATTTCTGTTATGATTCCTAATAGAGAGGTAATAGATGAATATGGACACCAACTAGTCAAAATTGGATTGGGCTCAGGATGTTTCTACATGTGATGTAGAAAAAATTACCAAAGAGCCTCAGATACATGTAATATTTCTACATCTAATTACTGTGTATGTAAATTAATTAGCCTTTGAAGGTGTATTGATGCATTACTGCACTCTTTTTTTTATGCAGAGATAACTTCATTGCATAGGAAATAATTATATTAATAATACAGAATGGTTACATGACAATTTCTTTTTAAAGAAAAATAACTAGATAATCTGCAATACATGTTTTCCCATTGCAGTTGATTATTGTAATTACTTTACTATTCATTATACTTTTCAAATATTTTCAGTTGAATTTAAACAGATAATAATAAGTGACATTATTAATGAAAGTAATTTACAAATAACATCAAAAAGTTCATCACTTCTCTATAAAACATAACATCACAATTTCTAGTGTTCATAATAAGAATATTTCTACCTCAGCAGAATTTTTCAAAAATATGTGCTGAGGATGTAGATATTTAATGATGTTTAATGAGTTAATGAGAAGTGAATCAATGATTGCAGGATGTACAAATAATTATAAAGAAAATATTAAACCTTTATTGTTGTTTTGTTCTATGTATTGAACTATTTCTGTCACTATCATTATAATTATTATTTTATTGTTGTTATTATCATCATTAGTACCACATACATATTAATGAGAATTTTAATGTGGTATTTTAAACTATTCAATCATAAAATGAAAATACAAATAATTTTACTAACTTTTATAAACTTTTTCTTCCCTGAGTTTTTGTTTTGTTACATTCCAATACATGGACACTAGGTTAAAACATATTTAGTAATGTCAATCTCCCTTATCTGGACATTGTAAGGAAGGGAACAGGTGATTGTATTTTGAAGAACTGTTCATATCCAGACTTTCAGATAAATCTGTGCAAAAATTATAGAAAGATCACATTTTCACAAAGGAACATAGTGAATTTGTTTATTTTGTAATTACTTCTATTATTAATATTTTGTTTATTAATGAATTAATAAAATAAAAGTATGATTTTATATATTCAATATGGTGGAGCTACTATGCGTATACCATAACAACTTGCTGTTAAAAGTTAAGTTAGTTATTTTCTCTGTGGTACTTGATTTAATCTTGTAAAACAAATTATTTTATTTTATTTATTTACTTTTTTCTTTTTTTTACTTTTCTAAATTCATCACTTTTAACCAAAGATTTAATTATTTTAAGAAGTATTCAATTTTTTGTGATTTCCTCAAGCAATGGAAATTTCTCCAAAATCAACCCTGATGTCATTTGTGCATTGGTCATAATGTTCTTTGGATGCTTGGAAGTGAGGTAATTTGTTGAGTCCATACGAAAATGTTTTCTCTCATGAATTTTTTTGAAAAATATGTATTATTTTATTTTTTAATAATCAGAGATTTTGTTTATGGTAATTGTTCTTGAAACATGAAAAATAACCTCTTAAAGTATAGATTTAATAATTATGCTCTGTTGCTGTATTATCCTTATTTACAATTATATTTGTATTTAAAGTATTCTTCCTTTGCGTTTTGTAACATTGAACATGTTTCTTAATACTTTTATAAATATTTAAAATTAGTACAGACACATGAGCTTGAAAAATTACTGTAAGCAATAAAATGGTTTTATAATGCTTGATTTGTAGTTAGGCTTTGACATCTATTAGATCTATTAGGATAGAATAGAGTTATTTGAGATTCTACTGTAAATAAATTGACAATGATTTTAACAGTGTTATCTTAAGAAATGGGCAATATTATAGGAAAATATTATTGACATTCACACAAATACTCTGGGAAGAAACTTTGTAGAAGCAAATTGAAGAAAAAAAAAGGTTTTATTTTAAATAATGAGATTCACACACTAAGTTTATTCTGTCATCTCCCAGAGAAGGGATAGAATAACGTTCTTTGATTTTCAACAAATTCAGCTCTTGAGCCAAGTGCCTGCACTTTTTAGTTCATGTAGTACAAATAGAATTTTGCACGGTTTGTGTATGGTGTGAGGAACAAGTATAAAGTGGTTTCTCTTTAATTTCAGCTACATTCTTGTAGGCATGTTAACAGCTCTTTTTGTGATATTGCTGATGGATTATTCCATTTGTAAATGATGCAGGTGAGAAAACACCACAAATGAAATGAATTGTATCTGATAATGAAAGTTTTCTTAGAATTACACTGAATATGTTAAGCCTAAATGATATTCTGATGAAGAGTGTCGCTCATAACAGTTCAATGTATACTATGATTAAATATTCTTATGAGAAAAATATTATATGCATGTTATTTGGCTACATGTGATTTTGTGCATGATATATATGCACTATATCTTGTGAATTTCCATCAGTGTGCATTACTTAAAAGAAAATTTCATTCTAATTTGTAATGCAGAAATTTTATTACAGCCATTTGATTGCATTTTGTTATTTGATCCACCATAAATTTACAGTTGCAGTTGATTACACCCTGAAAGAAAAAAGCCTCTTCAAGTACTCCGGTAGTGCACACTGATAACTTCTTGCTAGTGGAAGCTGTATGTATTACGATGGTACAATATGATGCTCCAGTTTGCTGCATATATATGTTTAAT